GAACCCCCCTTCCCCCCCCCACCCCCACCCCCAACTTTACGTACCTTTTTCGGTTCCGTAGCTTACCCCCCCCCCCCCCCCCCTAAAAAAAACCCCCTTTTAGATGCCATAACCATCTTTCAAGTACAAAAGTTAACTTTTTTGGATCAAATACCCTCTTTTTTTGTTCACGTTTCCCTCTCTCTCTCTCTCTCTTAATGTAGAGATTGTGTGCTTGACCGGCTTTAATGCGCCAGTCCGACACTTTTTTGTGCCGGTCCGACACATTTTTGTAGTGGTCCGTCACACTTTTGATTCAAATCCATATATATTTGTCCCAAAAGGCGGACGGGTTAGAGAAACTCGTGCGTGTGACAACTAGTGACAAAAACATGATAAAAATGTTGACTAAGGGTATTTTCGTCCTTAAAAATATAACTTTTTGACTTGGGGCGTTGGTAGCAAAAAGCAAGTATTTTTGGGGTTAAAGATCTGGTTTAGAAAGTATTATGGGAGAGGATGTCTAGAAAGTAGAGTTTAGGTGTGGCACCAATAAGTGATGAGATGAGAGAAAATGGACTTGGGTGGGCTCGCCATGTGTGGCATAGACCCAGTATAATACCTGTCAAGAGGTGCAAGTTAGTTCAAATAGAAGGCTCAAAAAGGAAAAAAAGGTAAGCCGAGAGAGACATGGTTAGAAGTAGTGAGAAAAGATACAAGGACTCGTGGCCTTATTGAAGGAATGACCTTTAATAGAGCATAATGACAAATCAGGATTCGTGTAATCGACCCTAATCAATGGATGAAGCTATCAATTGGTTTTGGAAATTGATGCGAGGACATAATGCATTGGAGTATATTATATGGTACTCTTTTAAGGGTGCACACTGTCCATTCCTGATGACAGCGGTCAAGATTTATTAACTGTACCTGGATGAAGAGCCTCTTGGGTCCTATTATGCTTGATTTAAATGGCCCCGTGGGCCCTATCATGGTTGATCTCCACTGTCCATCCTCAAGAATGGCCATTTGATCATGAGATAGGGAATTATGGTTCAATATGATGGGCCATGATCTACTGGGTGACCGTCATCTAATGAATTAATGATGTATCGTATGCATAGAGGACCCACCAGAACAGGACATGAGTCATGAGCCCAATGGTGGGCCCCACTCTCTCTCCAAAACTTTCCATCCTCTCATCAGGCAGTGGTGAGTCCAATGCACTGTGGTTATCCATAGTCAAATGGACTAACCAGTCAAATCGACTAATCTAATTCCCCTTCAGAGTAAGTGTACTATTATCCTTGGCATTGTGAGAAACCATAGTCGGTTTGGTCATGTCTGTTCAGTCGATTGATGACAGTGATGGAGCATGAGATCTACCTTTAGGGTGTTTTCTTGATGTGTTGGGGCCAGGGTTGGCAATGGGCCAGATCTGACTCGGGTTTTGTCCCTACCAATCTGGGCTCAGGCCGGGGCCTTCTCCTGGCCCGGGCTTAATGGGGGCAGACTGCTTGGCACGTTCCCACCCTTATGGGTCCCACTTCATCACCGTCCATGGTTTCTTCAGACAGCCATGAGCCGAATTGGATTGTGCTTCTTCATACTCGATTGGACCATAGTACACTTCGCTTCTGAAATATATTTGACTAAATTATGTTTTCTTGTACATCCCCATGAACTTTGTGTTATGTAATCCGACTTGCTTGTTGTTTTTCATTCCTCAGGTCACTATCGGGCGTAAGCCTATGACTGGCCTCCGTCTCTGCCTCGAGGGACCAAAGAGAAACCGCCTTTGCATCCATGCACGACACCTTTCCACAGTCCCTAGGGTACTTCGGCCTCACTGGGACCCACACATACCCATCGGGCCTCCCACTTGGGTGGGCCCTGAAGAACAAGATAGTCGTTGGTTCATCCCTGTAAGGTGGTCCCGCTTCTGCCATGTCAGTGCAGCCCCAGTCGAGCCTAAAGAGTCCCACATTGGGGCGCTATCTGGGGCCCTTGTGGTCACTGGTGCCCACCTTGGGGTATGGAATTTCGGACCACGAAGCGTGCTCTACCTAAGACTATTGTACTCCAGGGTCCCTGGTTGTACGATCCGGAGGTCAGTTTGGGACCATGCTTCAGCTGAGAAACCGGAGAATTCTGAAAAGTCTGAGAATTCTGATGGGGTTCATGGGAAACTGGCAAAATTGGTGGATTTGGAGGAGATGGTTAAAGGGGCTGAGGACTCACCGGGACATTGGGTTCTTACTGGGGCTAAGCTTGGGGTCGAGAAGGGGCGGATATGTTTAAGGGGTAAGTATTCTCTCTTGAACTACTGATTTTTTTTTTCGCTTTTCTTCTTTATCTTTTTTGGGTAGGTGAGCTTGGAACCGAACCTTCAACATTGGTGTAGCAGACCTAGTCGGCATTTTGTCCTAGCCATTTATAACCAAGAGGCTGGGCCCTCGAAGTAAGCTAGCATTCAAGCTTTTGAGGTTGGGGTTGTGTATCTTATGTCTTAGATGCCATGTCCCCTCAGTGAAGCAGGGAGGCTGAGCCCTGAACAGTCCTAATCTTGGTAGTAATGGTTTAGATCTGTTGGGATCACAACCGAGCTTGTGATTAAAAAAATAAAAAAAGACAGAAAGAAAGAAAGATCTCGGGTTGTCCGATTCGGGTCTGAAAATGTAAATGCTATAAGAAATCTTCTCAGATTGATGTATAAAACTTATGATGTATAAAGACTACTACCATACAATTTAGACGCCATAATCTTTCTTATGTTTCTGCCATAATGTGCCTGACTTTTGCGTGAATGCTTTTCATGTTAGAGTGCTTATTTAATCAAACAACAGATGCAAATTCTCATGAATTCTGATCATCAATGAGTCCTTATTCAGTCTGCCCAAATCAATCTTGCACATTAATTGCCAGAACCCAACACTTAAAATTTTGAAGCCTTAAAAATTGGAAGATGTAATGACTTGCGATTGAGAGAAATAAAACATGGTAGAAAAGCGTTGGTGGTGATGATCAGTGTTCAGAACACTGTTTTTTAGAACTGAACTAGTGAGCCAAACCAGTTACCCGATCGAAATTGAGCCTGCCTGGCCAGTTCCAACCGGCTTCTTGTGGTTCTTTTCGCATTGGGGGAAAAAAAATGAAAGCCAGTGCGAGCTAGGCGAGTCCAGGGTCGTTTAACTTGGACCACCCATCTGCCACTTCCAAGATGGCTTAGGGAATTTGGAGCCAGCTTGCTGGTTTTTAAAAAACTGGTAAGATGAGCTAGTGCAGTCCGCGGATTAGCTAATTGATTTCGGAGCCAACCACGATCAGCACACATAATTGCCCGAGTGGCCCTAGAATCAAAAGGTTCCCGTCCTAATTTGAGGAATTGCCTAGGTTGTATAGAAGGCTGGAACAGTAGCGAATCACCTAGTTTATTGTAGGCAGTGACTCCGAAGTTCCGGATGCATTCTCGCATTTGGAATGGACTCAGATATGTGTATCCAATCCGAGTCACATCCGACTCCTTTTCTTTTTATTTTTAAATCACAAGGATATTTACTTCTACTTCTCATAGAGAACTGCCGCACAAAAAAAGAGATGGGCTTAATTGGTTAGGGCTTGATGATTTGCGACGCTACATACTAAGTCCTACATAAGGTAGGGCTCTCTCCCCATTGATTCACTAACAAAAAGAAAAAAGAGAGAAGTATAGAGGGCGAGAGAGTTAAAAAATTACTCATAATGAGAGGTTGCTCAAAACAATTATTAAGAGAAATTACTAAAAAATGTTTACTAAAAGAAAAAGTTCATATAAGGGCATCAATGTTATATATTATAAGTGCAAGACATACATAAAAAGTGAGAGGAAAAATGGTGTTTTGACATTAAAGAAGAACCTTCTGATTGATCATTCATATTTCAAAATATATGATCTCATAAAAATAATATATCTGGCAACATATTATTTGGATGTTCTATTTTTAACATTTTTAAATATTTATAGATCCGTTCAATCATTACAACTTTTCAATTTTGAATTTTACAATTGGGAAAATAGATTTTCAAGCATGGAAAATTTTAAATATATTTAAAAATAAATCTCCGAGTTTGAATTCAAAGGTGTTCCTTCACTGAGGCATGGTTTGGGTACACCTCAAAATTTATTATATGAGGTTTTTCCAAAAATCACGAAACCCAATACACATGGTGAGAGGTGAAAAATACGTTCGGAGTGAGGGGTAAAAAATATGCCCAGTAAGGTGTGAAAAATCTATTACGCGCTTGACAGATAATGTTCCGTAAATCTTTCGAACACGTTTCTTGTCCCATAAATTACGAAACCCAATACGCACAGTGAAAGGTGAAAAATACGCCCAGTAAGGGGTGAAAAATCACTAAACCCTCGCAGTGAGAAGTGAAAAATACACCCGGTAAGGGGTGAAATCACTAAACCCGCACAGTGAGGGGTGAAAAATACATCTGGTAAGGGGTAAAAAATCACTAAACCCAATACGCACAGTGAGGTGAAAAAATACACCCGTGAAAAATCTATTACACGCTTGACGGATAATGTTTGGAAAATCTTTTGAACGCGTTTTTCTGCCCCATCCCCGCTTAAAAAAATGCCAACCCGCCATTTCCCTCTTTCAAATTTGTACTAGAAATTGCAGCAAGGGTTCTCTCTTCACTGGTAAGCTCTACTCTCTTGTCATGAGCCATAATAACTAGTTTGCTAGTTGCTACCTCCCTCTCTAAGCCTGCCCCCTCTCTCTTGAGCCTGGTTGCGCTCCCTCCCTCTCTAAGCTCGCCCCCTCTCTCGTGCTCCCTCCCTCTCTAAGCTCGCCCCCTCTCTCGTGCTCCCTCCCTCGCTAAGCTGGCCCCCTCTCTCTTGAGCCCTAATGAGTGGTTTGTGCTTCCTTTTTTCTTTTTTCTTTCGTCTCTAACCGGAAGAGAGAGACCTAATGAGTGGTTTGTGCTTCCTTCTCTCTTTAAACCGCTTTTTTTCTCCTTTGGACTTTTTTTTCGTTCGTCTCTAACCTGAAGAGAGAGAAACAGTTGTTGTTGCTAACCTGAAGAGAGAAGTAGAAGAGTCTTGGTAAGCCCTACACAATCATAATAAAAAATTTATCACAACATAATCCTCCCAAGAGATCAGTAAAAGCTTAATTGAAATAAGATATTTAACTTGTACTATAAACATTTTGAATTTGGTATGATAAATTTATTGTTTATTTGAAATTTATATAAAGACATTAGAAAGACTTCTATAATAAATAAATAAAAATAAGGCTTATCACAATAAAATCATGTTATTTCAATCATATTATTCTAATGACTTGTCATGTTAAAACCAAAGTCTAATCATGTTAGAAGACATGTAATTCCATGTAAGTGCCAAAGGCATGCAAAATAAGTAAGACATTTTGTCATCATGACTTTAAAATGGTACAAGTTACTATTAGAAAATCTTTTTGCAATGGTGATGATGTTATTATTAGAAAATCTTTTTGGAATGGTACAATGATGACTTTAATTCCACATTTCAATGGAATTTTGTGGCAAAAAAGAAAGAAATGATAGTTTATAGACAAGTGCTAGTAAAATATTGGTAATGCATTTCCTATATTTCTTCCAAACATAGCCAAACAGTAGCAATGTATTTCTATTCCATCTAAATACTACCCAAACAGTAACAGTCGATTTGCAGTAATGTGTTACGCAGTATATGCCAGTAATATATTTCACAGACAATATATTTCTAGGTATCCAAATGGCCCCTAAAGCATGGGGAGTTCACTAAAAATTTTTACTCAAATAGGGATGTCACTCCAAAAGTTTTACTCTGACAAAGAAGCCTGTTGAGACAAAGAGAGAAAATGCGTTTTTTATTGAACAATTGTTTTATGTGAGTTGGATTGTCCAGAAGTATAAAGTATATGTCTTAAATATTGATACAAATAGGTGATCCTTGTACCTAACATTCCAAATGTTTTTTAATGTAATAATTATTTTTAGTTTTCAAGATTTATTTATTTATTAATAGGAAAAAGTTTATATAAGGTTGCAAACTTCTCTCTCCCTCTTTGTAACTCGCAATCTATCCTTTTAGATGAACCACCATATGTATAAAAGTATATGTCTCATAGAGAAGGTTGCAACCTTAAAATGTAGAACTATGGATGCACCTTAAAAATCCATCGAAAAAGGTTGTTTTAATATTGAAAAGCCCTATGATTAATCATCTTGACATCAAGATGTCTGACTATGAAAAATAAAAAGATTTTGAGTCTCATAAATAGTGCATCTTACAACATATTATCTACAATGTCCATTTTCAAGATTTTCATATGTTTATAGATTTACTTGATTTAACCATTTTTAGAATTTAAAATTTTATTATTAGATATCAAAATAAATTTTGAAATAATCCTAATAACATTTTACATCAAAAATATATATTATGATAAAATTTGAAGGTGCATCTTAGTTAGATTGTTTAAGGTTGCAACCTTATGGCAACCACACCTTTATTCATATTCATCATCTCCATGTTAAAGATTATAAGGAAAATTATAAAAGAACCCCCAAGACTACATTTTCTATGCAACTTATCCCCCAACCGAACTTTTTCTCACTTTTTTCCCCAAAGCAAACTTTCTATGCAAATACCCCTAAGGAAAAAAGTTGATTTGTTTTAGATAGAAATGCCATTCATAAAAGCCTTTCGACCCAGTAGCACATTGTCGAACCGAAACTGAGTATTGTTGGACCGCTCTTTGCTGGAGCTCAGTGACTACTGAAGTTCTACTGTCGGACCGCCCTTTACAATTGCCAGAGCCATGTGACTCCAAAACTTTTACTGCTGGATTGCACTTACACAGTGCCGGAGCCCTGTGACTTCAGAGTGTTCCATTGTTAGACCGCACTTACACAGTGCTGGAGCGCTGTGATTTCAAAGTGTTTGCCAGACACCTGTGACTCCGAAGTGTTCCACTGCAGGACTGTACTTACACAGTATCGGAGCGCTTGATCCACTGCCAGACTGTACTTACACAGTGCCGGAGCCCTGTGACTCCAGAGTGTTCCACTACCGGACCGCACTTTGTCGGAGCTCGATTTTGGTGGGATAGAGGAGAGAGAAGTGTGGGTAAGGTAAGAAGTAAGGGAGAGTAGTTTAGGTATTTATTTATTTTATTTTATTTGGTTGGAGGTATTTGCATAGAAATTGTATTTTGGGGAAAAAAATGAGAGAAAAAGTTAGGTTGGAGCATATAAAGTGTAGCCTTGGGATTTTTTTTGTAATTTTTAAAAGGTTATATGTTCTATAAAAATTAAGATCAAATTATATTTAAAAATATAATTATTGCCAAGCCCGCATTTCTACATATGCCGGCTTGGCAGCATGCTAACGGCGTCCTTTTCTATTTGTTGAGAGAGTATGTGTTTGTCTATTTGCTGAGAGTGTGTTTTTCTATTTGTTGAGAGAGAGAGTGTGTGTCTTAGGTTCTTAGCCAGAGTTTTCAATCGAAATGGCCTCACGCTCCCCTACACTCGTCCGAAATTCAACCAAATCAAAATTCAGCGCAAATTCACCCCAAATTTGGATGTTCCAAATTTGAATTCGTTCAAAATTTACTGGAAATTTAATAGCTAGGCCATTGAATCTGACCGAAATTTAGGCGAGATTTCGTCAACCTAATTTTACGCCATGTGAAAGTCCCCTCCCGGCAAAACCCTAGCCATAATAAAATAACCAAAAGCCGAAACTTTCACCTAAATTTCTGCGAGTAGTTCAAAAACTAGCCGTGATTTTCGTGAAATTTCCCAAAAATGAACGGACAGCCGTGATTTCTGTCAAAATATGATAGTTTCACTGAAAATTCGCGAATTTTTTGCCGAAGATTCGGCGAATCACAACAAAAATGAAACAAATTGACAAATAAGGCCACAACCTTTTTCGTATTGACGATTATGTCCTAGCTGCCTTGTTTTCAAACTCTTCCCATTTTGCCCCTCACACTGCCTTGGATCTTGGCAGTTAATTAACATTTAATTAAATTTCACTAGTTCGAGTCAAATGGTAAGTCTACTTAAAAATAGTTTACAAACAAGAAAATTAATTAGAGATTAACCGTTAATTAAATTTCTCTAGTTCTAGTCAATGTTAAGTCTACTTAAACAAAGTTTACAAGTTAGAAAATTAATGAGAGATGATGCACATGTTTCGAACTTTGGATCATCATTTTGCAAGTTCACACTTCACAAGACTGTTCATCTTAGAATAATAAGAATTGATCCCTTAGGTCGTGTTCATGCAGGTTTTATATAAGCAAAAAAAAAACGTGATCCAATGGCCATAATAAGTGCTAGTGATTAAAAACTTGCATCCCCTGCTTGGGATTCACTCGAGTTGGACTGAATAGGGAGGCCTGCGATTCTGGGTTGAAAAACTCTGAACTCGCCCAAGTCTCTCAATTTTTTTTTATTTGTGTTATATTCCCAGTCAAATTCTATTTCTGATCATAACCAATAATAATAACAATGCTCACGTGGTCTATAGTCGTCCATTCGATTGGTTACACAGTGAGAAGAGAAAGTAAGGATGTACAATCTACTCCCCTCTATCACAATTAAGTGAATATTGTCCTGCCTATCGATGGGGGAGGATAAACTCGATTGAAGAGGATAACTTCATGACATGAAGTTATAATGATGATATGGATTATATTATATGAGATAGTCTATAAAGAGAACATTTATTTTTATTATAAGGATGTCGTAACTATTCTCATTTATTCAATATCAAATTGGATGGTTTAGAATGAGTCATGAAGTTTAATAAATTTTTTTAGAACTTTGTATCTATTCAATAATACTTTTAGGATCATCCATTTTAAAATGTAAGAGACATGAGTAATTGTGACTTCCTTCTACAAAAGATAAATGGTTTCCTTATAAACAATCCCATATATATCCCTTTGTGTGTGTCGTGCTTGTTCAAATCCTACTCCTAACTCCCTGTCTGTCAGGATCATCTCCACCGTCCATTATATGGCCCTACAACTAGAAAACCATTATCTACAAGGAAATGGGAAAGCAATGGGAAAGCAGAATACCATGAACAACAATGTATAATGCATGATACACCACAAAGGTTATCACTTGTCCATCCTAAGAGTTGATGGTGGCGCTTAATTGTTATTCTTGATCATGAATATTGGTCGGGTGATGACTAATTTTATCCATCTATCACCTCTAATGATGATGGTTGGCCCTGTGTACAATATACTCCATTACCTTTAGAAAATAGGGATACACTATAACACTATTTACCTTTGGTACAAGGTCACTGCTTATCCTAGCCATTAGGTGTGAAAATCTGACAACTTGATTTGTGTTACAAAAAGTTCAAAAAAATCCCTTAAGCCTTTGAGCCAGTCAATTATACATCTTTAGTTGCCTGATTTCATATCCTATGGTCAAGAATGCAAGTGACCTCGTTATACCTAAGATGAATCGACTTTTCACACAAAAAGGTAAATAGTCTTACAATATGTCTGTATATTTTTTCAAAAAATATTAGAAAAGTATACACTAAGACTATTATCTTTGGTACAAGGTGGTGACATTTGATCTTGCCTATTGGATATGAAATTAGATGGTTGTATTTATTCCATTCACCAAGCTCAAACTTCAAAAGAAATTTTTTTGAATTTTGTGACACACCTAAACTATCAAATTTCACATGGGATGGTTGTAAGTAATTGTGACCTCTATGTATTAAAAATAAATAGTATCACTATATACAATCCCAAAAATAATTCTATTCATAATACCTTATTTCCCTTATCCAATTTATGAACCATACACCCCATGTTTAGGGATTTTATAGTCATTCCGGAGGTCACACGACATTGTGGCATTAACCCAAAACGTAAGGGCAACATGGTAATTTGTCCTTGCCGAAACAAGTTTATTAAAAAACCCTAAAACGAAACGATAAAACCGATGTTTCAATCTTTTTCTCGTCTGCAAATTTCGGCAAGAATTTCACCAGAATCAGGTGAGTGATGGGCATTTGCTCTCTGTCCATGCATTTTCTTTATCATTTTTCATGGAATTTAAGATCTTTTTGTACTCATTTTATCGATTAGTAATGGCCTTTTTTCATGTCGTTTATAGTGCATTTTCACTGCACGAGTAGATTTCATTTGCTCTTTATCACTTGCTCTGCTATTGAATTCATGGACCCTAGTTTTTCTTGATCTTAGATGAGTTTTAGTAGTTTTTGGGATTTTTTGTGCATTGATTTTAGCTGGAAAGAGTAAATGTATGACACTGGTTTTGGGGGCTTTTCTTTGCATTTTGGAGTTTTTCTTTGCGTTTTGGGGTTTTTTATTACTCAATAATACTTGGTTCTGGATCGTGTTTTTGAATTTGAGGGTGGATTTGGTGTGTTTTTAAGCTCGTGTGAAGAGGAGTAAACCTGAATATTTCTTTTGAAAGACTTTTTTTTTTGCATTTTTTGAAATTCTAAATATTATGGCCTGTATGATTGCTGGAACCTCGGCATTTAATCTCATTGTTGGTGTGATTAAACTTCATGAATTTTAATAGGAAAATTCATCAAAAGAACACCCATAATAGATGAAGCACTCTACCTATTCACAATTAATCCAACACAAGATCATGTGTTTTCTATTGGTATTTTGATGTTAAGTCAAAAGATATGGGCAAGGTGTTAAATTGTTCATCTCTCATAGATAAGTTGATAAATTTCGCTTTTTAATAATTTTAATCAAATTCTCTTTAAATGGTATTTCACGGGGATTTTCTTGGCCATTACAGGGAAGAAGGGATCTGGTTGAATTTGACTTACAATTTCCACTGTTCGTAACTTAAACACAGGAAGTTTTTTATTTCAGTAAAAGTTTACTATTATTATTATTTATTATTATTATTATTAGTATTATTATTATTTTGCATTGTCCACTTCTTTATACTGCATTAGTTATCCAGGCTAGCCTTGATAACGTTTTTTTCTTAGTTGTTAAAAGAAATATTGTCTGGTGCTTTTTGATATTTCAAATCTCTGACCTTTAGATTTGATCTTTTTGGGGTTTTATCATGCCAAACTCTGTATATCAATGTAAAGTTGTGGATGCATGCTTATTGGGTGGATCAGAGCAATGTGGAGTCACTTCTAAAGCACACTGTTCCTTTCTTTAAAAAAAAAATAAAAAATTATATTTTTATTTTGACGTTGATCTTGAGGCTATGATTTGCTATGGCTTTGAACAATTGTTAAAAAAAATGAGATTGATATTTTATCTTACAATATCAACGAAAATGAGGTCGGTATCTTGGCATTTCTGGTTTTCTACTTGGCATTTCTAGTTTTCTTCTAACGCAGGTAACTAGAGATTTTCCCTAAACCAAAATTTCATTAAGTCATGGTATATTAGTGTGGTTTTATTTTCTGTGGGTGTAATTGTTTTCTCTACTGTTTAATATTTATGTTTAATGTTTTTATGTTTAATGTGCTCTTGGTGAATTCAGAATTTTTCAGGCTGGATGAGTTTGTGTTTTCTTGTAGTGAGCACTCACAATGTGTTTGTGGCTACTGTCTACAGAAAAGTTTTTCATAGAATCTTGTCCAGAAGTGTATCTTAATTGTATGACTCCGAGCTAAAATTAATGAACATAGGAATATATTGGTCAATAGGTAGATAGTATAGACTCTAATGCTCTGGCATTGTACGACTCCGAGCTAAAATTAATAAACATAGGAATATATTGGTCAATCGGTAGGTAGTATAGACTCTAATGCTCTGGCTTGATCATTGAATCATTTCTGATTTGTATGCAAAGACCTGATTATTTTCAAATGGGGTGACATGTAGGTTCCTGAATAAATTACTGAATGAAGAATTTATCTTTTTCATCTTCTCTAGTTGAATTTACCTGTCTTATTACCATACGCTTGTTTTGGAACAAATGAATTTTTACAAGTTAGGACCAATTACAAGTTTTGGAACAAATGTCTTAAGATAAAATTCTACAATTTGTTCTGGGAGTAAATGAAAAACCTTTGTGGGAAGGATCGGCAAAACTAGAAATAAACATTTAAGTTCTTAGGATAGATTCGTAGGCTGATCCAATATCTATTTTCTCATGATACCACCTGCAACAGATTTTTTTTTCTCCTGTTTGATATATTGCGTCCTATAATATTTTAGAGAGTTGAAACTAAGCCTCGACCCTGTTCTTTTCAGTGATGTATGACTGGTGTCATGTGCCTTACCCACTTATTTGCACTGTGTTTTGTTATAGGTCTATTTAGTTAACTATGGTCAGGGAGAAAGATGTTTTGTGGCAGTATGGTAAAGTAGTAGATGGAAAGACCCAGAAAGTCGAATGTTGTTTTTGTGGTGCAAATATGAGCAGTGGTATTACCCGCTTCCGAAATCATTTAGCAGGGGTGTCGAAAAAGGATGTCGCGCCATGTAAACAGGTCCCTGATGAAGTGAGAATGCTTGCTTATAACCTTGTAAAGACAAAAGACAAGGAAGCAGATGCAAAAAAACAAAGGAAAAAGGAACTTACACTGGCCTCGAGGCATGAGAGTACTTCAATGGGTGAGTCTCTTCTATCCCCTTCACCCATTAGAACTCTTTTGCATCCCTCTATTGAGAATATCTGGCCTAAAAGGGGTAAGGAACTTGTAGATGACTTGATGGGGAAGTTCTTTTTTGATAACGGTTTACCTTTTAATGTTGCTCGGTCTAGGTATTATCAGCCTCTTATAGATGCGATTGCAGCTTATGGTGTGGGGTATAAGGGTCCAAGTTCAGAGACCTTGAGAACCGATATTCTACAAAATGTCAAAGAAGAGGTTCAAAAGTTTGTTGATGACAGAAGAAAGGATTGGGCTGAGACTGGATGTACAATAATGTCAGATAGTTGGACGGATGCTAGGGATAGGTCATTGATAAATTTCCTTGTTGCTTGTCCTAAGGGAACTGTTTTTTTGAGATCAGCCGACATAACTGCTCATGTCAATGACCCCAAGTACTTGAGCAATTTATTTGAGGAAATAATACAGGAAGTTGGCCCTGAAAATGTTGTCCAAATTATAACTGATATCGGGGATAGTTTCAAAGCAGTGGGGAACATATTGTGTGGTAAGTATCCCAAATTATTTTGGGCGGGCTGTGCAACACATGGCGTCGACCTTATGCTCGAGGATTTCTCCAAATTGAACTTGGTCGGCCGTATCTTAGAAGTGGCAAAGGAAGTTATCAGATATATATATAGTAACACTGGGGTGCTAAGTATGATGCATCGTTTCACTGAGAATAGGGAACTATCTAAGTCTCTATCCACGAGATTTGCTACAAGATTTGTGTCCTTACAATCCCTTGTGGGTCTTGAGATGCAACTAAGACACATGTTCACTCACCCCGATTGGATGGCATCTCCCTTGAACCAAACAGAAGAAGGGAGGTTTGTTGCTAGTATAATGCATAATGAAGAGTTTTGGATTGAAGCAAAAGAGGTGTTAGCTATTTCTGAACCTCTTCTTAAGGTTTTGAAATTGGTTGAAGGGGGTAAACCTACCATTGGTCACATTTATGAAGCAGTATTTGGGGCAAGGGAGACCATCAAGAAACACTATAAAGATGATATGTTGAAATGCAAGTGTCTTTTGGATATCATTGATAGGAGATGGAAGGGGCAAATGCACTCGCTTCTTCATTCAGCTGGGGCTTTCCTGAACCCACATATATTTTATAATAAGCTGGTATCATTGGACGGCATAAAGAATGAGATGCTAGAAGTTGTTAATAAGATGATTCCAAAGGATGATCACATAATTTTAGGCCTAGAAATCGTTAAGTACCAGGATGCTGATGGACTTTTGGGAAATCCATTTGCCGTAGGCTCGAGATCTGCGCTTCATCCTGGTATTTTCTAAATTTATCATTATCTCACTTTTCAGTTCCTGTGATGTTAAGTTAATTTCCAGTCTCTTCCTTAAAAAATTTATGATTTTCTTTTATAGGTCAAGGTGCCCAATGGACATTGGGAGTCTTCACCATCCTTTGAGACGGTAGATAGTGATGAAGAGGGAATAGGACCTGCCATCTATGGAAAACCATAGTGCATTGTACTCATCACTAGCCAATGAAATTATGGATGGTGAAATGGGATGGAGGGAAGGAGACCATTGAGGTTATGTCCTGTCTGATGGTTTTCTCTCCATCATTGGCCATCATTTCATCAGATAATGGTGTGACCCCAATGGGCTATGAGAAAGCCCCAGAGGCCCATGGTTTTCCATAGTCCATTGGGTGAACAGTGTGTACTTTCCCTCTTGATAGTTGAACTCAATGCTAATTATATTATTTTTAAATGTGATTCCACAATTCCAAATTATTTCATTTGTCAGTTTTTCATTGGTTGATTATGGCATTTAGGTAAGTGGTGGAGCTTATGTGGTGACGAGGTACCAGTGCTGCGAAAGTTTGCCGTAAGGATCTTGAGTCAACCCTGTAGCTCATCAGGTTGTAAGCAACAATGGAGCTTTTTTGAAGCAAATCATGCAAAGAAAAGGAGCAAACTGAACTCAGGAGTGTTCAATGACTTGGTGTTTGTCAGGTATAACCTTCGATTGAAGGATAGGGCTAACAGTGATAAGGAATACGACATTGAGCATATTAATTCAGACAACATAGGTGGTGCACCGGATTGGCTTGATGACACCGATCCTCCCGAGACCCCACTATTGAACGGGCTCGAGGATAGCACCATTCTTGATAGTGTAAATGAGAACTACCACAAGCCACCTGGATTTTACCATGTTAAGCCTGATGACAACACATGACAATGTTAGTTTTTGTTTCTTGAAAATTCATTAGATGGGAAGGTAAGGAGACTTCTTTTTCCTTTCTTTTCCAATGGAATCATGAAAAATGTGCAAAATTTTGATTTAAGGCTTCTAACAACTTCTCTTGTATTTTTACATGTCTGGATGCCTTATTTTTCTCGTGTCCCTAAACATGAGGGTTAATTTATGTGTAATATACGTGTATGCATGTAATGTTTTGTTTGAAGCCATATCTGTAGTTTTAAGAATTTCTTTTAGTATTCCATATTGGAGAGATCTTATAGTTATAATGTCTTTGAGCTCAATATTTTTTATCTACTTAAACTGAATCTTCCAAACCCTTATGTCCCTTCATCTTAGATATTTCTATGGCCTTAATCCCCCATATTTTCTTGCTATTTATCAATTCTAGAAAGATTGATGGAATTTTCTGGGTAGGATTTGGATATTGCCTTAACAGTAGTCAATTTTCTTGACGAATTTGTTCAGATTATGTATGATCTAGATTATTATACTCTTCTATGAGAAACTCACAGAGTTTTACCCGACGTTTTCATGAGTGCTTGAATTGAGTTGACACAGATGAGTCTCAGGTCCAAACCCGAGCTTTTAAACTTTTCCTGTACGAAATAGTGAATAAGGGTGAATCGCTTCTACACATATCCTGTCTAGTGCTTGTTTGTTTATTAGGGAGATCTGTAGCACTCCCGCCTTTGTTATGCCGGAGTGGAAGAGCTATTTGGAAGTTGTTGCTTCCAGCAACCTTGGGAAATGTCAATTGATGATGTGTTTTTGGAAGGCGCAAATTGCATGGTAACCCATGGAAGCGGCGGCTTCCGGACTTAGTGGAAGAGGGGGTTTTGCCAGCCCGAGCCCCCTCTTCAACAAAACAAACAGGCCATTAGAGACTTGTGTGCTAGATTGTGCACATGGGATCCCTTGCTTCTCATTCTTTTAAAAGGACACTGCATTTTCAAACAAGGAATCTGGACTTTTTGTTGAAGGTGTCTAAACTACTGAGGAGCCCCACAGTTGGGGCACCCTTGTTTTTCTAGACCTTTTGCAATGGAGAGTGGAGATCCCATGTAATTTGTTGGATATATGAAGCCGGTGTTTAATAACTGCCTGACTTGGGACACGTCCGATAGGTCCGGATTAGGGGGACAGTGATTAGGGGTTGGAGAACCTCAGAATAGCTTCAGTCCCCTGATTTTGAATTTTTTTTTTTCTTGTTGAATTCCTTCCGACTCAGACTCACCTGAATAGGACCAAAAGTTTGGACGCAGCTCAAACACCTGTGGAGTTGGAGTCGAAGTCGCTTTTTATACGTGTTTTCCTGCACAAAGTTAAAAAAGCCCCCATCATTAAGATCAAGAAGCCTTGCATGGTCTTTATGAGGAGACCAGTGCCAGCTTTTACTCATAATGGCTAGGAGTTGATCTTCACCTACTTATTTAACAATTTACAGTTTTTAAATTTTGCAACGCAAGCTTGAAAGATAGCAGCTTTGTTATCTGGTCTTGTACTGTTTTTCCATTGTTTTTGGTGGATTACCGAGACTATGGGGAAGGGGGGCCAGGATGGTATGAGAATCTATTTTTGTCATTAATTATAAAATTTTAAATTTAAAAAACAGTTTAAATCAAGCAGATCTATAAATGTATGAGAATCTTGCAAATAGAAGGTCCAGAAAATGTGTTGTAAGTCTCAATATTTTTGAGACTCAAAATCTTTTTTTTAAAAAAATTCATACATCCCAATGTCGAGATGATCAATTAGAGGGTTTTCCAACTCTAAAACAGCCTTTTATGATGGATTTTTTAAGTGCACCTTAATTCTACTTTTTTTTTAATGTTGTAACCGTACATAAACTTTTTCCCTTAAAAGAGAGAGAGAGAGAGAGAGAGAGGTGTTTCTAAAAGATAGGGAAAGACTCATTTTTCAGTATGTTCTTGATCAATGAAATCAACTCACCTAACCAAGTTGCTTGCTTCAGCGATAAAATATTATGGTTATATGGCCTAGACTTGTCAACTAGAAGTAGGTGATAACTAGCTGAGCTTTAATTTTTAAAGAAAAACGAAATTTGTCAGAGCAATTTTTTTCATGATCAACTCACCTAACCAAGTTGCTTGCTTCAACTTTTTCTCTTTCTATTGTACCTTATGTTCCCTAACATTGCCAATTTATCTAAACTTCAGTAATAAGTATATTACCTCTGTATTTTCAAACACCAACATTTTAGTGAGTCACTATGTCACCAAGTTGCCATGTGAGATGGTTGCGTTTTCTGATACTAATGCCACTCTAAATTAAAATATTGGTATATTTGAAATATTAATATCTCGTCAATGCATTGCCAGATTAATGTACTTCAAAAAAGAAAATAGGATTTTGAGTTCCAAAACAGTTAGATATCACCATCTGAAGATCGGATGGTATTTATTCAATCCTAAGACATTGTTTTTCTGATAAATAAATTAGGATATGCTTTTGCAAGAGCATTTAATCACCCGAGGAAATGAATATGAGATATGCTCCAACAAAGTATTTGATGACTAGAGGAAGTAAATGTGGGACATGGCGCGAGTTAGTTCAAGTGTAAAATTAAAAAAAAAAAACAAGGGATAGGCTTAAAAGAACATAGTTGGAAGTAGTGAAAAAAGATATGGGACTTTATGACCTCACTAAAAGTATGGTCTTTAATAGAGTTGAATGGTGGACTAATTAAAAAAAAGCCTCGAGGATGATGATGAGATATTTCGTGTTTAGTTTGAACTTGGATGGTTTATGGGTTCAATGTTTATAATTCATCAGTGTGCCATTGTGCCATCTTAGTTAATATTGAAGGATTACCTTAAAATCTATCCCAGTATTGATCCACTTATGCACCTCTTCAATCCCTTTCAAAATCTTATCTACAAATTAACATTTTTCTTTCCTGAGAAGTTCCTACGAGGTAGAGACGTCATTATACTTACAAGCAAGGCACGCCTCCAAAAAAAAACCAATGAAAAAAGTTGTTTTGATGTTAGAATACCCTCCCATTTATCATTTCAATAAATGAGATATATAGATGTGAAATAAGAAAAGATTTCAAATCTTAAAAATACTACATATGGTTCTTTCTCTTTCTCTAATTGATATTGTTTGTATAGAAAATTATTTCGTGTTTTTTTGGATTAGCGGACCGATCTTAAACAGATCCCGAATCCCACATCTCATTTCCACATTTTACATCATTCGTTTAGTTTTACCATGTGGATTGTCGTGCAGAAGGATACAAGCATTAGCATATTGTTAATAATGAACTACCAATTTAGATATTTTCAAGTGTTTGAATATATGTTTAATCAGTGCCAGTTTAGAATCTACCAATTTACACCATCATAAGAATTTTTGACACTAAAACTGTATCTTCCTGATGGTGTGAAGGCATGCCTCTCTAGATAAACTCCTTATATAAACGGCGCCTTTTTTTTATTTTTGTGAAATATTCCAATGGCAAACATCAACCATCCTCCCTTGTAACAAAAAAAACATCAAAAATCTCTCAACACGAATAACAAAGGATGAATGTGGGTTATTCTAGAATACACCACATTAATAGTAAACTTAAAATTTAATACTCTAAAACTTTATAAAGATAGTCCTCTTATGTTTCTATCCCTTTTGAGAAGCATTAAAAAGAACCAGGTTATGCAGGCCATTTAAACGCAGGAGGTCTGTGCAAAGATATCGAAGTTCTCATGGAACAACGCAAGAATCAGTTGCAGAGAATTAAGGAAAAAGTTTTCGGTTGCAGAGAATAAAGACATAGCTGGCTTCCAATCTGTCAATATGTGTATATCACGATAAGATTTGAAATTTTGAAGCCCAATTTCTAGGTCCTCTCTCTCTCTCTCTCTCTCTCCGATCACCTTCCAAGCTGTAAAGCATTGACATTGGGATTTTGAGCGGCACATTGTGGTGAAAACCCATGCACGGTTGAGGAGGAGAACCCTTTGCTTGTAAAGGAGAGGTAGCCTCGTAGAGGTCAAGGAAAGCTATGCATTAAAATGCTAAAATGGTAATGAAAATAAATGAGTAGGTACCGAACAGAAAAGAGGGGGTGGATTTTTTAAGATAGAGAGAGAAACTTGCAAGTAGAGAGAGAGTATCACGTGTGGCACTAAGAGGGCATCGTTTACGGTAAAAAAATTTTTTTTTTTTTCTGAATGTTGGTACAAGTTTTTTTCTTTATAAAATCAAATAGGGCATGGCATAAAATATCAAATATCTGAGAGATTTTTTTGGAGTATGTAATTTTGAATAAAGAGTCAACCTCAACCAATCAAAGTAAAACACACTTTTAAAATATGTTGAAGAATATAGTCTTGGTTTTGAAAATTTTTATGAAAGCTTAAAAATATTTTTAAACCTAGTTATGAAATTTGAAGCTCGAAAAACATTGTATCTATAAACACTTACAAATCTTGAAAATAGAAGATTTGGTGTTGAAATTTTTTATGATAAACCTATTTATAAAATTTAAAGCTCGACTCAATTCATTTTTTCTTTTTCTTTTTTTAAGATGATACATGCTTATGCACATCAGTTTTTTGAAATGCAATAAAAATAGCCATTAACATTTTAAAAGAGCGAGGCGGAAGGGAGAGAGATGCATTATAGTTTCTTGCCATAGCTGAATATTTGGGTTGAATTCCAAGGAGCTGAAAACTAATAAAGATATAATACTTAAATAAGGAAAAAGTTTATATACCTTAAAACGTAAAATTGAGGTGCACCCCTTCGAAAAAAGTTACTTTGATATTGGCAAAACAACTATTTGATAGATGTATAAGTATAAAGAAAAAAAAAAGTTTCAAGTCATATAAAGATAATACACCTCGTAACACATTATCTGGAACGTTTATTTTCAAAATTTTCCTGCATTTATAGATATACTTGATTTAAAACTATTTTTGAAATTTAAAATTTTATAATTAAAATAAAATAGATTCTTCCACCAACCTCAAAATTTTAAAATTACATCTCATGATAAAATTCGAAAATTTGAAAATGCGGCTCGTCTAAATTTACAACTTTATGCAAACCACACCGACTAATTAATGGTCCAAATAGTGGGCACGAGTCCAAATTTCAGGGCTAGGCTATTCCCTTACACGCAACACCTAAACAACATCTAGTAGGTCAAACCCTGATTTTTCACTACGCCTGCCCAACATGA